GAAGAAAGGAAATGAACGAGAATATTCTTGTTACTTGGCTTTCGGTACCACTTTGTTAAGTAACCGCTACTTGATAGGTTTATTTGAACGTTTAAAACCGGAAGCCAATTTTTTCTCGGTTTCCCCCGGGTGAGCTTTATGTACTCAGACTGCTCGTTCAATCATTCAAATCATTTGTCCATCTCCTCCTGCGTAAAGAAGACGACAAAACAATCATCTACATATCTGCAGTAGAGTAGTGGCCGGAGATCGAGAACAGGGGCTTCTATCTTACACATAAACACAATGGCAAGGCTTGGTGCCAATCGCTGTCCCATTGCCAACCCTCTTATTTGGGCGAAATATTTCCCAGACCATCTGAAAATCGAGCAGTTTAGGCACTCCTTTAAGAGAGCCATTAGCTGCTGGATGGACAAGCCATGCATATTTATTCGTCCGTCACGTTCAACAAGAAGTTCGAAGATGGTTTGCATTGCGGAGTCATTGGACACGTTGGTATATAGCGAGGTAACGTCGAAGGACTCTATCACGTACGCGTTATTAGGAGACGCGTTACGTAGACGTTCTAGGAACATTTGGGTGTTTGTGAGGTGAGCTGGAATGTGGTTAAGCAACTGGATAAGTATTAGGCTTAAAAACCAGGCTATTCTATCCGTTGGCCCATCTACACAGCTGATGATTAATGAATTCTTCCATTCTATTAGTTTTTCTTTGTATCGACCATCCACGAAGATCATATAGCTTTTCGCGTGTCGATTCGGCTGCATTTTGAGGATTGTCGTTTGCAACCACAACGTTGCTGAGATATTTGCAAAACTCTGGACCGCAGGTGTCTATGGTGGGGAACGAACGCGCTATTTTCCTTGGGGAGTAACGCGTTCACCACCACACCATGCGGGTCCTTCGCTTAGTAACCTGCCATGAAAATTATAGAAGGCAGAAAACAAAACGTTAAACATTGTGATTTCAACTACAGCCAACTGGGTTCTATGCCGATTTGAGCTCCCCAGATCAACCCCGCTGACGGGTGATTGCTGTGGCAAAAAGATCGATAGAAATAGCTGAGATACAGGCTAAACGAAGGACCCACATGGTGTGGTGGTGAACGCGTTACTCCCCGGAAAGGATAATAGCGCGTTCGTTCCCCACTATAGACACCTGCGGTCCAGAGTTTTGCAAATATCTCAGCAACGTTGTGGTTGTATTTCGCTTAGTAACCTGCCATGAAAATTATAGAAGGCAGAAAACAAAACGTTAAACATTGTCGTTTACTTTATGAATGTCATCGATAAAATGGTCGAGTCAATTCTCTCGAGGTACTGAGATAACCAAGCTATTGCACTCCTATTTGGATTGCAACATGGTCAAGTATAATAGGCGCATCAAAAAATATTCAAATAAGAAGATTATGACAAAAGCAAAAGCTGGTGTTTGATCACTTCCAAAGGGATGCGGCATGCATGCGACTTCATCAGGTATCGTTACAGATGATTGAATGCATATCTGGTCCACACGATGACTCAGGTGGCCTGCCGTTGTGTCAAGTCAGTGTGCTATCGTTCTAGACAACTGCAGTACCAATTTCCCGACCGCTGAGGGTTGACAGGCTTGGTGAGCCGGGTCGAACCGGCACCGTGTTCGTGATGAATGACATCACTATCACTGCGCTACATACTCCTCTCTTTAAATGCTAGTAGTTTGTATGATATCTCATCCACGCCGAAAATTCTTCCACCACCAATACGGGACATGAACAATGGCTTTTGGAATATACCCGATACGCACAACATTCAACTACAATGCGCAGTTTAGACCATTGAAAGCTGTCTACGAGGATCCAGGAACATAGATATCGAAAGCGAAAGAACTACTGCGTACTCTCAGTGTTTTCGCTGGACTTCGTCAGACAATTTCATATGTTGGATATCTCAATTCACATGAAGTAGTTTCTGCGGTCACAAGAACACGAAAAACTTTGTTGGTCTGAACTGTTGTGGGAACCACATTGTTACTGGCATGTGGTGTGTTGTTCAGTCTGTGATGTACTGCTGGAAACTACTACTCAATAAAGTGCAGTGAGGAAAAGAATATAATGACTTTCAACTTTCAAAATAGGCACTGAAAACCGTTTCGAAATTCTCGCGCAAAGGCTTAGTCTAAGAAAAACCAGTGCATCAGTGTTTTCAGCGACCAAATAGTAGTCGCCGCCATGCTAAAAACGGTATAGGCAAAATACCACTAGCTAAAATTACTATTTGTGAACACACATTTCGAACTCTACAGAGAAATTCTAGATTGAAGCGCTACTTTTCTGAAACTTTTTAGCTCCAATAACTACCAGTTTAGGACAGTTTGGCGCAAATTGAACGCTATATCTGCAAAAGTTACCGTTTATTATAGAGAGCATATCGTACATGTATGTTGATCGCTCAATCAACGTGGGGAACAGCATGAAGGGAGTGATGTGGAAGGAGTGCAGCGTTGCAGTTTGTCTTTCGAAGCAGTTATACAGCCTTACTGTTCTACAATTTCAGATTTATTTTGCAATCTGCACAACATGTACGTATACACATATATATACGCATATATATATACATGTATATATATATATATATCCGCATGTAGCTAGCAATCTTTACTTGCAGCTTTTCATGCCTGCGATCAGCAATCTTGCTTCGATTCCCCCACGGGGTTGCTGAGTTGGAGTGGAGGCCCAAGTTGCATCTCTACCGGTATGCACCAAAATTCTGTAGATATAGTCACCTCTCTGGAATAGTTTGACTAACTTTGGTTCATATTTGTTCCTCGTTTGTAGAACATAGTTGCGGAGGTCGACCGCGCCTCTAAACAGCACGAGGCAACCAGTGCCGAAATATCAGACATGAGGAAGTCCATGAATTTCTCGCAGTTTTGTGAACCGAAAGGAGATTTGTGAAAACAAATTGCATTAACTGCAGGCGAAGATCCAGAAGTTGTGAGGCACTACACTGCAGAACCACTTTATCAACACTTTCTTCCTCTTTGTTTTTAATCCACTTTTCCTAGGCTTTTCAACAAAAAGCACCTAAGGCTCCAGATTATCCTGCATATCCTCATTTCCGCCGTTTTCATTCTTGATGAGAAGATGAGGGTCAGTGCTACATTATTCAATAATTGTTGAGCTGCCAAACTAGTCCAGAAGAAAAAGAAAGAAAATTATTAGAGCTAGGAAATTCGCTGCTATCGAGATAGAGTGAGCGTGGGTGGGCAAAGAGATACTCGAATCTTCTAGGGTAATCGTCAAGAGTGATAGAACAATGACTGTGATTTCTCTCATGAAAAAGGATAGAAAGCTCTCGACGTTGATGAATCCCGTAAGGATGCACCATGCATCCGACTTCATTGAGCATCCTTGGAGGTGACTGATGTATATCTGGCCTTTACGATGTCTTTCCGTAGCTCGCCGATGCATCGAACCAGTGCCGCTATCCTGCCAGACGAGGTCGGTAGCAATTTGCCTATCCTGGAGGGATGGAAGGTTTGTTGGGCCATGAGCACAAGGATCGATTTCATGTGTGTGTTGCAGGGTGCCTCCGACCACTGCGCTACACGCTCCACTTTTGAAGTGATGAGCCTTCCGTACAGGCTTGTCAAGCTCATAACTTCATAGGTCCTGTACTTATCGAGAATTTTCCAGGGAAAATAAATAAGAAGTATCGTCACTTATGTACGGTGTAGAAAAATCAATTTCTGTCCAAGCGACTCATTGTTTTTCTCATTTTCAATAGCAATGATGTGTTGCCGTTATTGTACGGGGCGAGTGGATTTAGTAAAACACCACAATACATTGGACAGAAGTGGAAATCACCATAAACTCTGAAAGAAATGTGTTTGACAGGTGTACTGCGTTATAAAAAATGTAGTGTGTAGTAGCAATGATGATCATGCCTCTAGATGGATAAAGCATATCCATATCTATAAGCTTTTGGATGTTTCTAACCCTACAAGTTTCCTAGTTATCAAAAATTATCATTTATTATTCAAAAATAATCAGCAGCTCTGGTTTCAAGCTGCGGGCGGATTTTAGCGTTTTTGCAGCCTCAACGAACTCAGTGGTAGTTGCATTAAGAATCTGAGTAGTGGTAAACTACTACTTGAAAATCCATGGTCAAGTGTTGCCTTCTTAACTGCTGCTTTCTTTCATCTACGGAATCGGCGATAGTAATTGGTCATATGTAAGTGGTTGCATGTACCTAGAAATCTGTCGGTCACGAAACACCATGAAATAGGCAATTAGTTCTTCACGCGAAGATGAGTAATTATGCATGAAATGATTTGTTTCCATGGTGGCAGCACATTCCAATCGAATGGAAATTCACAGCATCACACTGATAAGGCTTGTTCTACCTAATAGGTGAAATTGACGGTGCCTTTGACTAATAACGACGAGTAGACAGAAGTTAGCTACGCATACATTTTCTACTTATTTATACCTTAAGTAATCGACTAATTCTAAAAATTGGTGAAACTAAGGACACTGAGAGCACATTTATGATAAAATCACCCCTTTTTCATCTTAGCTGTGCCAAATGTACGCCATGATCAATCTCGTCCATGTTTATCGAGGCGACACGTATTTATTTCTTCGAAAAACTCGACACGCTGGGATGTATGGCTTAGACAGTACCCGAATTCTATGTATGAAATGCATGAAAAGCGGTCTTAAGTCCTTCTAACACTGGGATTTTGTTCGAGAAACACTCTCGCTCGGCTTCTTATTTCTCTTCGATCAGCACAAATTTTGCAAGTGTTGTCTTCATTTGTTTGTCAGCAACTAAAACTGCAAACCTCTCCGCATCGAGAAGGCGATGGCGGTTCGGAGACGCTCCGATTATATGGCTCTGCAGCCGTGCTGTGCTCCGCCAATATCTATTTGACAGAGTATCGATTCTCGGGCGCAAGGCGTGGCCACGTCGAAAGCTCCTCACAGTCCTTGAGTCCCGAAGGCCACCAGATCCGCACTATTCGATTCGAATACGTGGCGGGTCTCGTTTACTCTGTTCGTTGAGTGTATGTTCTAGACGATTGAACTGCAGCTCTATCTGCTGAGTAGTGGTAGGAATTGTCGAGTGGAGGCGATCTTTCGACGCAGCAATAGCAGCAGAAGCAGCAGCAGCACTGCATATCTGCCTGCGTGGTGCGAGTACGCTCAACTGCCTCATTCATGATCGGGACGGTTTCTGGTCGACGACTCGCTGAAAGCACTCGCTTACATGTGGCACATGCTGGATGGCCGTTCGCTGACCGCCGACGCACTTGCTCGTGCTGCTGTGGTTGTCGCTGTGGAAGTACTACTCCTAGGCACTTCGTTTCTCAACATCTGCGTCATATTCACGACCGCCGACCTGTACGATGTCATTGGATGTTACCTGGTGGGTAATACACCTCGATAGTTTTGTCTATTTCGTACGACGATGCTAAACATATTTCCAATGATCAAGTGCTCGTGAAGAAAAAATTTTCAATGCTTTCTGGTTTATATAATATGGCAGATATAATGTAGTCATCTGGATTATCACTGATATAGGAATTCTCTTTTTGCTGAATATACATTTGTCTAGACTGGGAAAAAAAACAGCTAAGAAGTGAATAAATTAAAACCTGTTTTGATATTATCGGTTTCAGCGTTGTCGCAGTGCACACTTTCCATAATGTGTAAAATCTAAACTTGCTAGTCAGTTACAATGATTGCAAAAACACTTGAACCTAAACGTTTGTGAAACGACGAACCTTGATTAGAGGAAGCATAAGAAAATCCTAATCGATCTTTAAGATATCTCTGTCTGTTGCGGATCTGCTGGCCGCATTGTTCATCGTGCCGCTAAGCTTATATAGCACGTTAGATCCGAACTGGCGATTCATGGGCGACAATTCCCTCATTTGCAAGGGTAGTGCCTATCTTCAAATCGCACTGTTTTGCTCCACCGTGTACACGTTTGCCTGGATCTGCATCGATAGGTACGAATTCATCGTTCATAGTTTTGTTTTCGAAGTACTTGTGTTGTCTTGTTGCGTCCTTTAATAACGGTACTTTCAATTTGTCCTATTAACTTTTACATAGGAGGCGCCTTTGAAAACAAGGAAAACGTTTTCATACGCCTAGTCATGAAAACGGTTTTACCAATAAGTAATGGGAAACGAGAATGTAGAGCCACTTGCTTTTAATGGTGCTTTCTTTGTGCATGAACTTGTTGGCACCGTTAAATAGTGCCCTGAAAATGAGTTTTTTTTCCCATGACCCTTCTTAAATCGTTGGTAACCTTCGGCGTGCTAACAGGAAACGGATCAGTGATCAGATATACGGCATTCTATTGGTGTTCATTATCTATTCTCTCTTGACCACACCACTCATTGACATTTTTTCCTTAATTTTCTTTATATATTTAAATGAGGTTAATCTGTCAGGTAGCTCTTAATAGTTGAGTCAGAGCTCCATTCTTAAAGTAGTTTCCAGGTTCATATTCAAGGGTTGGTGTAGTTCGACACTGAAAACGTTTATATGATAGCATACTTGATGTCCGTCACCCAAATATTATTTCACTTGCTTGTAAAATGTTGAACTTTGAAAATATAATTTTATCTGCTTCAGAGTGTTTAATGATTTTCCACAACGTCCTAGAAATAGGCACCCTAATCCAGTATTGATGAAGAAATCTTAGGTATCCGTTTACTAGCTTGTAACCAGTCTCTAGAAGTTTTGTTGCTCGTGTTTCTCTGAGCTGAAAGCAAGTTTGCTATGAGTTATCGTTTTATTATATGCTGCTTTTATTTCCGTTCTAAAAAAAATGACATTGAAAATTATGATTATGCTTACTAGGCTTCTGTTTACTTTCGTTTACTGGAAAGGCTATATACTGGACGGAAACCAGTAGTATTCCAGTGTCGAAGGAAATCGTGAGCATGTTAGCGTTTTTTTGCTTAATTATGAGTTTAAGCCTATTCTGAGTCTAAAATTTTGCCATTGGCTTTTCTTTGGATTATATGGTTATGAAATACATTTGGTTCTCACGAGTGCAATAAATGGAAGTTACGATCTTTTCTAGTTACTTACTTTACTCTTCACTGCTTGCTTGATTTATGTAAGAGTCGTGCGTTATATAGGGACCATGAAATGCTCCAACCATCTGTCTTTACAATTAATGGAAATTCTTGAATATCGACGTACTTTTTCCTTTCATAAAATACTTCTCTGTCCTGACCTCGGTAGACAGAACAAGAACGATTTTAGGATGAATTTGATGAACAGTTTGAGAGAACTAGATTGTGTGCATGCACGCGAACAATTATCAGAAAACTTCTGGGGCATTCTTCAGAGAAAAAAAGACTCTACCATGGATGAACGTAAAGGTGCTAGGACCTGAAGTCATCATTCAAGGCATTATTTTTCAGGCTTTGTATGAACTGGATCTTTAGGTACTCGGCGATGATGAAACCTTCTCGATATGCAGATCAGTCTCTTACACGCTGTAAATGTTGGATTGTCTTTAGTTGGCTTACTTCACTTTTGCTGTGCTGTCCAATTGTCGTTGCACAAATGCAGGTGAGCGCTTCGCCAATAATTTACTTTGTCTTTGTGCAAATGATGGAGACGTACCGCTAGGGTTTGTTGACGTGGTGTAAGAAAACACTTCAGTTCTTCTTCGGCCGTCACTCTTCGGCCTAATACTTTTCAGAGAACTGTATGGGATCTTCCCGATTGGATGTTCAGCTCTGCTCAAACCATACTCTTGTTAGAAGAATTGCGCGCGAATCGGCGGCTATATGTTCTTTGTCTTCTTCCTTTCCTCGTCTCTCCCTCAGTGGAATGACGTGATGCAGTGGGGCATCGATTTCCAGTGGCTGGCTACACGTATTAGCAAAATGCTTATGGGAGAAGACAAAGCGATTGATATTGCCGTATGGATATTGTGAAGGACTCTAGTTCCCTCGGAAATACCAATGGCAGAAGTGGCGGTTTAGTTGTTGAGCCTTTTCTGTACATATTGTGACCAATACTCAACAATGCTGCTGGAGTTCCGACGCCCAGCTGAAAGGATTTGGGGTAGCTTCGGAGTGTAACATTCCTCATTAGACATATTTCTGCTAATCCAGTCTTGACATGACTTGAGGATCATTGCGATAAAAGAAAGGAATCATGAAGCTTGTCTAGTGATGCGATGTCCGCTCGCAATTCTTTGCCGAGTAGGTTCCATACAACAAATCCGTTGTCAGAGACTAGACAACATTTCATGGATTGAGCTCGTATTTAAAAACGGTCAGACAGCCAGTCATTATAGGTTTGACTAAGACGTGTAATGTAGCCTAAAGTAAAATCTCCTTACATGGTTTTGTTCACTGGTCAATTTTTAAAGCTTTTAGACCGTTACCGTATTTTTTACTGACTCTTGTTTTAACTATTTCTTTCCTTGTCTTGTAACCGTCATCCACACAAGAGGCCGAGTTCGTTTCTCAGTGAATTCGAATACAGTTTGAGGATCTATGCACTTTACTCCTCAATGTATTCAATGCAGGTGAAGTGTAGTTTTCACTGGAATCCCATGACAGTTGTGCCTGAGATTTTTCAAGTCTTTCCTACGGGCAGTCTCCGTCCAATGAGAATCGGTGAGATATTTTCTGCTTTACGACTAGGAATCTTCAAAAAAGGCCACGAGTCGTGTGTTTTTATCAATCAATAGAAGTTGCGACAGAGTGAATTCACTTAACTAAACAACTAATCAAGCTCTTATCACAGTCAATCATTATTCGTGTTTCCTCGGCGGTGTAGAAGTGCATTGCGACCTTCACTAACAGATGATTAAGCCTAAGGGTCCACAACAGTGGCTAATAATTTCCAATAAATTTTTATTTGTGGTTAGGACATCAGCTGTTATTTTCCAGAAATAGTATAATAAACCTCTTTAAATTTGTTCCTGTTTAGGTTGTTTTTCTTGAGGAAGCTCAGCTATGTGTACTCGATTGGACTGCAACATCCGCTTACAGCATGACTCTACTCCTACTTGTATTCCTGCCCACTATTGTTACTGTTTTCAACACTGGATATAAAATCATCAGTGCGATGCGGAACCCAGATCAGGTATATTTAAATTTTTACAAGAAACACTAGTTGAATCTCTTCTCTCACCTTGGAATTTCAACAACTCTCTGCTAGAGTATAAGGTAATATTTTCTTCAGAGAATGAATTACCCGTATATTTCCAATCCGTGAATGCCTTTGGTTTTGCACATAGCGATCGTCGTAAACGCGATTAGTATAAAATTTTTACGCTCATCAATTGCTTCGTTCTGCGCATCAGGTGGAAATTGAATTACGCTGAGCTTCTTCAAACCAACACAGCTCTCTGTCGCAGTGGATTGAAATGTCTCACGTATAGTATAGTCGGTCCATGGGTCGATCGCTCGCGGCATAGCATTCATTATCACTACGGAGCTGTCGTAATCTGTCTTAAGAACCCATGAAATTGGCACTTAGTCCGCGGCCGAATGATGTCATCATTGCCTCTTCCCCAATCCGCACGAGTTAAGGGGAAAAAAACTGGTTATCTTTTTGTTTTTGCCACCACACTTGGAAGAATCCGTGTGCACAAAGTCAACAAGGGGTATTTTCTACTTTGCAACATGCAGAATTTGTAACAATTATGACATAGGGTTTTAATGTTATGACTACTTGTTAGAAGTCTCTGTATAATTGATTTATATTTATTAATGCCGTTCATAGAGAATCATTTTCTGGTTGAGAAATCACTGCGTAAAATAAGGACAGATTTTTATTGAAACCTGGAAGAATTACATTTCCGTAAACAACGTTAACAGTATGAAATGCTGAGATATTTGCAAAACTCCGGACCACAGGTGTATGCAGTGGGGAACGAACACATGCTGCTCCCCGGTAAGGACAACAGCGCGTGTTCGTTCCCCACTGCATACACCTGTGGTCCGGAGTTTTGCAAATATCTCAGCATTTCATACGAGTTATATTTCGCAACATATCCTGCCATTAAGAAGAAAAAGGCAGTAAATAAAAGAGTTAAGAACGTTAACAGTCTCGTACTGAATATAACGTGTCTTGGTTGCGTATCGAAATGGTTGTGAAAATCAAATGTGGTTACTTATGTAACAGGTTCCTATTAAACTAACTTTTCAAACTTTGTTGGCTGGCAGGTTAAGTGTTGCCCTACCCTTCATTCATTGCACTCGCAATTCCATGAACAATACAACCCATTTTATGTTATCGGAACACAAAAAATTCGATAGTGAGTGGTTTAAAAAATGAGTGCTAAATTCCAGACAATTAGCGAATCAGTTTCTTTGTATTTCTTGTTTTCCGTGCTCTAGCAATTCTGAGGAAGTTTGTCATTGCGTCAATATCGGTCCAGTAACATCCTGACTTCTATAAACGTAACTCAAATTGTTATCAAATTATAATCCTTTCGTTGAAAACGTATTGGTTCACTGAGTTTTTGTATTGTTCATGCACCTATGCGACATTCTCATGCATCACTTGTTTGGTAACCTTTATCACTTGTATCACCTGTAGTCCCGTTGATCGTCGAGCAACTCGAGCGGGCGCCAGTAAATCTTCCATTTCTCCCTGTCGCTTGCAAGAGTAGCCCAGTGGGTTCTGCTCGCTTTAGGGACTCGTCGAGCATCATATTTTTCTTCAAAGCTCTTTGTGAAGAACTCTGACTATCGTGTCGGTGGTCTTCCTGCGGTACATTTGGCGTCCCGAGGAATCCAGTCACTAACTGCTCTTGTTCATCGGTTGTCATTCATACGAATTACGTATCCGGCCCACCTCACCTTCGACTGTTTGGTATACAGAACGGCATCTTTGATTTTTGATCGTTGACGCAGATCGGAGCTTGCTCACTTGTCCTGCGCGTTCAGTAACGCTGAGTGATTTTTCATCCTGATTTCGCAGCGACCAGGTTTCTGACGCATACGCTAACTCAAGAAGTACCGTTGAGTCGAAAAGGTAGGCACGGAGCGGTAATTTTTATATCAATCTTTATCCTTAGCGATTTTTGCCGCCTTGGTCGGTGCGTGAAGTATTGACCAGTTACTCACTCGAGAAACGTTCCGCTAACCTTTTTTATGCTTTCAAGCACATGTCTTATCATATGATAAGGGGTGTCACGAAAACCATAGTGTAGTAATCTGTCAGTCCGCACAAAAACACGTAGCTCGCAGAGGCGAGCACATTAGTTTGAATAGAAGAGCTCACATATGATTTATTGTCAAACATTGTACTAAACACTTCGTCTTCTTAACTTCTCGCTGTCCTAAAATGTCTCGAGAGGCCCTATGAATTGGTGTTTTGGCTTTCTATTTCTTGAAGGATCTTGCCTGTAATTGCTTCGAAATCTTTACCAGTATTTCGTCTGTATCCAGTGCATAAATCAGTGGAATATTCTGGCATGATTGAATCCTTATTTCTTGCATGCAGTCTCAATCTTTACCTAGGGGATAATTTTACAATGTCGTTCCACGAAAAGGTAATAACAGAGGTCTTTTGCGAGATATCTCAGCTCTAATATTGTTCAGTGGAGAGTGTTGTACCACAATGGTTTCCTCATCAAAGGTGGAAGAAAATCTACTTGATGCTGCGTTTTTCCTAAGTACTTGATCCGTGACATTCACAGTTCGCAGGAATTGCAGTCGGCATCAGTGTAGATGGTCGGGTTCGTGTAAAACTCCCAGTACTTGAAGATCTGGCATCTGCTCTCTTTAATCAGATGTTGAATACTAGTTGAGCAGTTTGAGTTTTAATGGAAGTTATGTCAGTGCATGCCCAGTTCTTCAGCGCAGGAATTTATATCGGAGGGCTTTTCGCACCTTGTGACCGACTTTCAAGTCGATCAACGGATCGTATACTTTTCCAAGTGAATACGCCTTTCAACCAAAAGACAAATAAGAAAATGATACCACTCGAATTAATGAATTAACCATACTCGGCCACGCTCTTTTATACAGGGCGGTTGTTAACTGATTATCGACTGATAATGGTTTTTTTTCCTGTCAACAGTCCTTCCTGCAGCAGTCGGTATTGGAATGGCTAACAGAATGGTGATAATATTGTACTAAACCCACTTTCACTTAATCTCGCACTTAACCCACGAACGACTATTGACTATCGACTCAGATTGCCGGCTCTGAGGAAGGCGGAGTCTTCGAAACGTTAGCCGAATAAAAGTTGTGTAGTAATCTGGAGTAAACTGAACAATCCAATTAGAACAGTGTTTGATGAATAGGTTGATTGAATTGATTGCAGCAGTTTTATACAAAGATACATCAACAGCACCAAATATCTTCTACCTAATATTTGCTGCCCATCTAAGAATTAATAGGTACGTGGAGTATGGTAGTCAACAGCCACCCTGAATTGTTAAGTTGTTCAGAAATTAGTGCCGGACTTTGACCTTAATTTTAAAGTGCGTATGTCACCTCAGAACCAAAGTTTTCTTATTGACATAGAAGCCATTGGTTTCTTAGACTGTTGAGATGATGCGAGGTTGGTATAAAAATATCTACTCAGCTAATGTTTCTACGTCTTCATTTTCTTTAGAGCCAGATTGATTTGTGAAAACATCGCTCGAATGAACATTCGCAGAAATACATACCATTAGAATATACATATTTTCACAACCTTACACCGGGTGCTTGAATTTCCGAACTTCTGGAGGCGATGAAGTTGTTTAAGGCAGTTTCGAAATTTTTTTCTGAAATATTTCTCGTAGAGAAAGTGGTCGAAATGCCTGAATAATGCCTGAATGTGGTCGCCGACAGGCAATAGGAGTTCCGAGTATGGTGAATGACGTAGAATTTCGTAGCCCTGCTTCCTCAACCATTGCAGCATCAATAGTACGACACATCGTTTCGTTTCGCCACTTCGTGAAAAAGGATAATTCAATTCGTACGGCATCCATTCTCCAGATTTTCCGACTTTCCAATTTTTTAGGTACTCCGATATATGTTAGATGCCTAGAATTAGTTTATCTGCAAGTTCCTGGACAGTTATCCTTGTATTTGTTTCCATCAACGCTTTCAATTCATCGTAGCCGATATCAGAGGACAACTGCGATCTTCTCCATCGTCGAGCTCGAATTCGCCACGACGAGGTTTTTCGAACCAACATTGCACCTTGCGTTCCTTAACACTTCCTTGGTCTTATACGCCATCAATGTTTCGAGCCATTTGCGCTGCACTACATACGAGGTTGAGGTGGTAGGTTTGTCGAAGTTTTGGTTGTAACGTCTGAAATTCTAACCCTTATAACTTGTTAAAAACAGGATTTACCACTACATTATACTTTGCGAAAGTGCATGAAGTGGCTATGCAATAATATATAATAGTGAAGGATCTCAAAAAAAGAACAATTGCTGAAGCATAGGGAAATAGCCTTCAGCACTTTTTGTCGGATTTTGTGCGAAAGCTGAATACCGAATTTTTTAATTCTGCAACCTTAGGTTGTTATACGTCTCAATTACAGCTTTGAATGCACGAAAGTATAATAATAATGGATGATATGGAAATTTCTAAAATGACAATTTATTCTTTGCGTTCAAAAGATGTGCTCATTTCGAAAGGTTGAAAAGGTAACCGAGAATGAAACAGTTCTGTGAAGGAGTTACTAATGCTATGAATATATCTTTGTAAACTTAAGCTTAAATTATTTTTCCGAGATTGTCGTTTCAGTGAGGTTAATCAATATGCAAGCCACTTCTTGGTTTAACATCAATGTAATCTATTTAATGTTTGGTGCTTCAATGGCTGCCTTTTATGGCGAATACTTGGATCCACGAACGTTCTCCTTTTAACTCATGTTTTGCTGACGTGACAAGATTTTTCTTTGGTCTTCCAAGAAGCCCATGCAATCTCGTTCCTTACTGTATCCATTTCTTGGCCGTTCTGGGTCAGAAACAGGTTAAAATTGCAGCTAAGTCTCCTGCTGAACAGCTCCGACTCCTGTTCGCGATTTACTAGTGGCTAAGTTTTCAGACGGAAATGTTCAAATTTTTCTCACTTTGAGTTGATTTCCTGTGCCATAAAATCTCCGCTGTACATCATATTTCCTCACCTGGGAACGCTTTTTTTTCCATAGCACAAAAAAGTGGAGATGTAGGTTTCGGCGACTTCCACTGTCATACTATCCTGTTCCAATTTTCCACTGAGATTGTTTCTAATTTTTGCAAAATAATATAGCGTTTTTGACTTCTTTATGATTACACCTTGTATGAAATGGAGCAATTTTCGTTTCTGAACTTGCTCTAGGGTTCATGAATCTTTACGACTACTGGTATAATTATGATTCAAATGTGTGTTTACAGCTTGAAGACAACCAGCGAATGGTGATCGAGACTGATCCAAATTTTGTGCTCACCATGTTCCTACTTGTTGCTTTCGTACTTTCGTGGTTACCTTTACTGTGTCTCAAAGTGTTCGAATATTTCTTTCCCCCACAACCGGACGCTGATTTATCTCTGGTGAGTTTAGAAGTAAAATTCTAACACTTTTTACTGTGCCTCATTGTGGATCTAGCGGAGTCTTACAATGATGATCGTCAATAGAAAAGCACCTATCACTTTTACACTAAACTTAACAATACTTATTTATCTATAGCAACTTCATTCCAATCGTCTTAGTTCGTAACTCTTCTACTTACGAGCATTTCACCTCCAAATTCCCATGGACTTGAAAGCAAGGAGATATCTATATTCATTAATTCTATATTCTCGATGTTGTTTTGAGAACAGAACAGACTTCTGTAGTTTATTCCACAACAACAAACATTCTTACTGAGTAGATGTACTTCACCATATGAAGATTATCCTGGTTAGAAAGGCACTTAAAGTAGCGTCCAAAGCTATGTTTTAAACAACACTCCGTAAGCTTCACAAACAATATTTAGCGTTGCGCCTTTGAATTATCCATTCCTTTCCCTTCTTCTCTATTCTCTATTTTCTTGAATATGTTGGTTCTTATTATAATAGCATCTCTATATCATAGTTAGCATAAAAGGTTATAGAAGAAACATATGCCACGCTCTGAGAGCTCATCGACCACGGAATGAAGCCGCTCAACATAACAACAATCCAACTACTTTCACAACTTGAGCACGAATATGCACCTCTTACAGCTAAACATCACCCTTCCCAGAGGAATAGGGCCATTCAAATAACCCTATATTCTCGTAGCTGTTTCCCACCGAGTTGCCTGTATAATAAACTTGTTCAGAGAAGAAACGAAAAGCGCATACATATGAACGGGAAACTGCTCGGAAACTGTTATTTTTCCGACGACATTCCTATATTCTTGGATAATGCCATCGTAGCAGAAATGATGTATGAAAGAACTCATGGAACGGAAGAAAATGATGAGGATATGAATAAATGGAATGACCCAGTTCGTAAAGACCAGTGGTGCGAGGAGAAGTAAATCGCGATGAATAATTATGCTGCCCATTCTTTTTTCATGGTAGGGTATAGTATTTTCATGTAAAGTACAGCCACAAGGATGTGAGGTGTGGGCAAAGCTCGGAAACTTCGAATCCACGATTGCCACTAATGACCATATTTTAGACACCTGCGATGTTGAACATGAGAAATGCTACTAAGAAGGAACAGTATGCTTCGGCTTTGTATTCCATTCCTCCGGAAAAGCTACCGTTGTCAACTGACAAAGGAAATATCCGTGGTTGGATTTGTTATCTCAGCAGTCCACTTGCTCTCCATTATGTTAAGTGAACTAGCATCTCAATGAAGTCCGCGTTCTATTGACCAGGCACAAAGCATTCACACGATGGCTAACTAATAACAATCTGTTCAGCCCAGATTTCGCAATTCGCATTTCCAAAAATTGTCATACATCGAGGTTCAGGTAATTACACTGTGAAAGGACAACATACATGCTAATCATATGGTCAAAAATTTTGTGACATATGGATGGAGAATGTCCACATGCGAAGGGTACAGTGGATTCTGACAGGACACAAATGTTGTCAACTAGACCGCTTACAAGTTACGAAGACGTGTTTAGCATCGTGATTCAGCTGTACCTCCTGCGACAGTACAGTAGCTTCACTCTGCGGGCCACTATCTTAATAAGCTCTCCATGGTGGAATCGAATTATTCCGATATAAGAGGACCTTTGAGACAATGATTTCTGCAAATGGAAGTAGAATAGTTTCTCTATTATTTGTTTACACAGTTTTTTTAAACAAACGATGGAATGTATATTGATAGGTCGGTTTTTGAAATATTTACGCAGTTTATATACAGCCCTAGGTATCTAAAATATGCAAGCAGTTTTTTAATGCTAGCTTTCTATTTGCTGTCTACTATAACTACTACTTTTTCACAGCAGGGTATAATGAGAAATACATCCACAATGATGCCGAGATATTTGCAAAACTCCGGACCATAGGTGTTTGTGTTGAAGAACGAACACGCTATTAACCTTTCCGGAGGTTAATACGTTCACCACCACACCACGCCGGGTCGTTTGTTTCACCTGTCTCTCAGCAAGTTCTATCAATCAGGGCCGTCAACGGGATTGATCTGGGGGGCCCAAATCGGCATTTTGTTGGTTAGCTTTTTTAATGATGGTTCCAAAGTTATTCACCTTAGTTGGCCTGCCAATTTTACCTCTCTATGTTTTCCGTTATGATGTTCACGTTAGCAGCTAGAAGTAAGGCGTTTTCATGATTCGTAGAATCCATAGTGCTGGCAAGATCTTTTATCAGTTGTTTATTTTTCAAGAAGGCTAATAGTAAGAAAGCAGTGGATAAAAGCGAAAACTCTCTAAAGCTCGGGTTTTTTTTGCTTACTTCTCACAATCGTTGGAAGTTGGTTAAAATACACGAATGATAAACATGTTGTGTGTTAATTCAAGTTGCTGAATCATTATGCTTGTGATCTGTTCGGCTAGACGGACTTGGTAATATGAGGCTTTTTTATCTAGCACAAAGAGAAAAATCATCCAATTTTATTCCTTCTCAGTGTATGTTCTGCTTGCTTCACAGAGTTTTATAAACTTTTTAAATTTTCTCTCAGGCCACTTTCATATTTGTGTGGCTGGCCATCGCAGGACCTTCTGCGAAATTTCTAATTTATATGTTCATCAACGGTGCGTTCCGCAGCAGTTTTCTGTCCTGGAGGCCATGTCTATCCATATGTTGTCCAGCTGGCAGACATCAGGATTATCGCGATATAACTTTCAATTCTTATTTATAACTAGCAACGGTGGTAGGCAGCATGTCTCCTTTGCGGTTCGGTTAAAGTATTCAGAGCGATTGTAGCGAAATATGTTGCATTTTATATTCTTTCTTTTCATGTTCAATGTATTCAACTTGTTTCGTATTATGAAGCTGTCGACACTATAGCTATTCCGTTGTCACATTCCTGAAGCTTGCGCGGTATAGATTTACGAAAATGTACTTCATCCGAATCCACCATGCGTACGGTATTGGAATACTCTTCGGGTTGATCACATCTTGCTAGACCTCATTTCATTCCATTCCAAGATTCCTTTGTAATTTTGTCTTTTTTTGCTCATTTATTGCTCTCTCTAGCAATGTATTTTTTACACATTATATTGCTCACTTGGGTTAGTAGGAAAATGTTACGATTTCGTCGTTTTCGGTACCATCACTCGGTTACATCAGGAATCCACTTAACATATTGTCTGCCAGAGTTTTTATGCAGTGGTTTCGATGCATAAATTTTTTCACAGCTACTTATGGATTTCTTTCCCATATATGGAAATTTGTATTTGAACTCTTAAAATTATATTTATGCGAGCCAATAAAGTTTTTCTGTGGAAGAGAATAGGGCACAACTGCTTTATCGTAATCCGAGTGGATGTTTAGTTGATGTTCTGATCATGAACACTTCTTCGAACAGCGTTGTTACGATAGTTTTCCCGAGTTGCATTTCGAAAGTTTATCGAAAATTGTTTACATCAGAAGAACTATAAGAAGTGGAGTACCTCTTGTTTCTGGTCAGTCTAAGGTTATTGGCCTATGCCAGTCGCGATTTTCTTATTATTATATTATAGGAATTAACATTCCTTAACATTCATTAACATTGATATACCTTCACATGAATACAGCATAAAAACATAGAAAAAAGAGGAAAAACATGGCGAATTCAACAAAACTGGAAAGTTACCACTACCTGATTTAATTTCTTTTTTCCAACTCCGGCGTTAGTGCTGCTGCATGCCCGCAGTTCCAACTACCTGTAACGTTGTGCATCCAGTGCATCCATTTCAACGTTTCCGTGGAGAAAACGATGCAGCAGGAATCCCAGATCAACTTTCGTCATAAACACTCACTCCAAAGCCATACACTCTACATGGTACACCTAACAATTTACCATGGTACACCTACTTGAACACTAGGATAGCTTGTCTTCACTGATTGTGTGGGCCCCATTCTTCAGAGATTTGCTGGTTTAGCCACTGTGGTCCTTGAAGTGCCGAAGACAGCATAGCCAAAATCTGCCCAGGTCGTCACCACCACAGGCAGTCGCCGATTTTGTGCATCAGAGGGGGATTAGCCACCATGCGACTGTTTTCACAACAGGACAGTGGTGGATCCTAGTATCGGCTTACTTTTGGCTGGATTTCCTGATGGATACACCGGACTCCTTCCTAGCCTGAGAAACCCCGCTGGGAGGGTGAATCATCACCGGTACACATCGCATCCCGACACCCAGAAACATCACCCGGTCGCAATGAGGCGGTAAACAGTTGGAAGGCACCTAACTATTTTAATAGTTTTAACCGTTTTATTTACTGCCTACTCTTTTTGATGGCAGGGTATATTGCAAAATATAACTTCAATGATTCTGAGATATTTGCAAAACTCCGGTCAGCAGGTGTATGCTGTGGGAAACGAACACGCTATTGTCCTTTCCGGGAAACGCCGCGTTCACCACCGCACCATGCGGGTCCTTCGTTTCGCTTTAGGCGTTATTCTCCAGAAAGGACAATAGCGCGTTTGTTCTCCACTGCATACACCTGCGGTTCGGAGTTTTGCAAATATCTCAGCATCATTGAAGTTATATTTTAATAGTCTTTTTTCTGTTGCATCTCTTGGACGACGACATCAAATACAAACTCCTTGGACTTTTGGACTTTTTTGTGTCTCTTTTGTTCTCTCGTTAAACGTTCTTGGATTGCACTACTTTGATAATTTGGACATTAATTGTGAGATAAAGCTATCATCGTGCCATCTAACGAAATCTTCCTCAAATCATCTACAAAACATCTAAAATAAAAATATGATGTAATCTCATACATCGTAGTTAAGCAAACAGTGTTATCTTAGTAAGTGAAAACATTCAAACTGGTGAAAGAATCCGCTTCCCGTAATACATCAGATGGTTAATAAGAGAACGTCAATGTATATGTATGTCTCAGAAAGTAATGGCTGATCTAATGGCAGCGTTTGCAAGTGCATATATATATGCGCACATACATATATACATATGCATATATATATGTATGTATATATACATATATATATCGCGCATATCGTACTGATTTGTAGAAGCTTTTGGTGTTCCCCAACATTTTCTGTCTAAAAAGAGCCGTTAAGCTTATATTCCACCATAGTCTCCAAATTTGTACGGCCATCACTCTGTCATTACTTTCCTGATCAAGTACTATTAACAGGATATCTGAGATTCAATTCTTTGTGAAAAAGACTGCTGAAATCTAAAGTGCAGCGAAATATATCACTAACAACAATATAGATCATATCAGCTAAAAATGAAATGAGCTGTACAAACAGGATACTTAAAAGAAGAGTCCAAATCAGAATCTACACAGGAATTTATATAAGAATGTTTAATGGAGGAGATGAGTATGCTAATAGATTTAGGGCTATTCCTGTGGCACTAATATTCTTTTCCATTCTAACTTTTTAGCCAATAATAGTAGTGAGAAACAATAACGTTTTATAAACCTGCAGTGAGCACACTAGAGTTCTCCTGAGAACTACTGGCTATAGGTTTTCCGACTTCGCGGTTGCTGCTCTTCTGTGAAGACATTCGAACATGAATATAGGAAGTGTGCAGTAGAGGTGTTATGCCACTACAGGGCTATCTCTTGGGCATCGCAATTTAGATGGAGTTGAGCGTAAGCTAGGGCTTGTAAAACACGAGGATCCATTCCCTGAAACATCATTCGGTTGATTTCCTTATGGAGGATAATGCGAGGTACAATACGGGATCAGAAGCGTGAGAAACGTAGTGTTTACGCTCTTTTCCTGAAATTTTTGAGTATTTTTTGAGCGGCCGGTTCTCTGTATCTTCTTGAAGCCTTTTTGGTCTATCATAAATCAGGTATCAAAGGTGTCATAAAAGTTCTAAGGCTATAATGAGATTCGTCAGAACTAGCACTTCTTCGAAATAGCTACGAAACATACCAAAGCGCACGCCGCGTTAGTGACATTGGCTGGATACTGCACGCGAGGTCTTTTAACGTCTGGAGAATGCCGTGATTGAGAAGACTGCACGGACTCATTGATAGAACGCTTCCGTGCATAATCTTCAACTGATGAGTGATCTACGAATGTGAAACGCATCAACTACACCATTTGCAAGAATCATTTGCATTATCGTGTACCTGTAGAAAGGCGAGGTTTTGCGTTCACAGTCGAGTGAATCTCGCCGGATGGCTTCGAATGAATGCTGCTCACTATTCGATCGCCCATGTTAAGAACAGAAACAATGCGAGTTAGTGCTGGAGCTGCTAAACAATGTCACCATTGTTGCATTTAGCAAAGAATTCTAGATGTTTTCAGTTAGAGAAAAAGAAAATTTATGAATTCGTCCTTTTCTCTCTCAGCAATCGCGAGGTTGTTAAACAGCATACGTTTACTTCCATACAATAACACATATACAACAGAATCGTAGCTGACGTTTCGGTAAAATCGCCTTCTTCAGAGTCGCTTTTTTCACCTGTCTTCCACCGAGGAAGAACAGCCGCTCAGAGTCGCATATGGTTGACGACTCATAATCCAATGTCGAGGTTAACAGAAAGTCGATTCTGGGTACTATTAAAGAAAATTTAGTTAGAAAAATGAAAGTTCGTTAATTATGAGCACTACAATTAGTTGAGATTTTTGGATCCCGCAATAGACTAAAAATCATCTCCTATCCTAGATTAATGCTAACTGAAAAAAAAACGAAATTGCAAACCACATCCATTTTACGGCGCATGCTATGCACTTGTTAGAGGTACCTTGCGATACAAACTTAATTACTTGGATACTTCGATGACCCGTCCTTTCTGGTTGTGCACCCCCAGGGCAAAATTTCCATTTCTTCAAAGTTTTGCTGGTTTAGCCATTGTGGTTTCCTGGAGTTCCGAGGTCAGCCTAACCAAAGTCTGTCCCAGGTCGCCACCACCACAAGCAGTCATCGCACTTGCGGAACAGAGGGAGATTTGCCACCATTTGATACAAGGAAGATGGTAAATCTTGGTATTGGTTTACTCTTAGCTGGACTTCCTGTTGGAAACGCCGTACTCCTTCTCAGCTTTGGAGACCTTGCCGAGGGGCGAAGCCTTCAGCAGGACATCGCATTCCAACACTTAGGAACACTCAGCCACAATGAGGCGTTGAACCGTTGGAAGGTAGTACAAACACGGTATCCAATTTTGCACTCCTGGACTAAGAAAGTCTCCTACCCTTCCGGTTAGAAGTTTGGTACCACACTTCTCTATAACTGTGAAACCCAGAATTGATACATTATTAGGCCAGCGCAAGTGATTGCCTAACGGGAATGTGAATTCAGTAACTCTTATAGGACTGGATGGGATCCTATGCATGGCGTATCCATCATGGACTGATCAATGCCGGCTGCTTTACTCTTTATCACTCATGCTCGTACCATGCCGACAAATGAGTGGAATGCTTCCTTTGAAAAAGGAATGTATTTGAAAGATATTAGTAGCACTTTTGTGGCAAAAATGGAAATAAAATCTGCAGATGTTCAACGCTGCAGTATTTGTCAAAGAAATTGTGCCTTAAGCAGATGAAACCAATGACCGTGTTCGTATTCAGTAGCGTTTTCTATAACTATAAAAATCTCCTCTTCTTGCTAATTTTCCCAAGAAATTTCACTACGATAACTTCTCTCCAATTTAAAATTAACGTTATAGTTAGCACTTGGTAAAATTTATAATAATTAAAGCAATGTATTACACGGTTTTTTTCAAGAGCTTTAGCAAGAAATTCAATCCGCTATATTCGTCCTGGACGTGGATCTAAAGCATTTCCACTAACGCATTTTAGACGCTGTACGAGATATTCTGGAATAAAGTGAGCAAAGCATGGCGTTGATCAAATCCGACAGAAACGATCTCGCACTTCAGGCATTGAGTCTGTGAAAATTATCGTCTTTTCTCCGAACACATTCCTTCATAGAAGTTTTTACAAGTTGTAAGAACGGATATACTATTCAGCGGTATATCTGACTAATAAAGGGAATAGTAAATTGACGTCTTCTTAATTATACCTTGAAGAGAACTTTGTCACAATATTTGCTGTAAAATGTTAACCCTTTTATTTACTGTCTTTTTCTTTTTAATGGCAGGGTATGTTGCGAAATATAACTCGTATATAGTGCTGAGATATTTGCAAAACTCCGGACCGCAGGTGTATGCGGTGGGCTCCCCAGACCAATCCCGTTGACGGGTGATTGCTGATGGCAAAAGATCGATAGAACTAGCCGAGAGACGGGAAAACGAAGGACCCGGATGGTGTGGTGGTGAAGTGCACCACTCCCCGGTAAGGACAATAGCGCGCGTTCGTACCCCGCTGCATACACCTGCGGTCCGGAGTTTTGCAAATATCTCAGCACTATATACGAGTTATACTGTAAAGTGGTTAATGTTCTTGGCTCTTTTGTTCGAGCTTCTCCAGAGCCTGGAAAGGGTCACATCGAAGTCCAATCTACTCAGGAAAATACTTTCATATCCATAATAAATGATGCTCAGAAATTAAATTTCAGTCGCATGTTAGACACCTTCTTTGAACAATCACCGTTTTTTATACGTCTCCCACTTAGCGAAAGAGGCCTACCACAAGAAGTTCACACAAATGAGAAATATGTCTATTTCAATTGAAAAGGTCTTTCTGGGATATTGTCTGAACTAAAACTAACGCTTGATAACATAGTGTGCCTTCCTGCGGTATATCTTTGGGTTTTTAGAAACCTAAGTCTTTAAATCAAAGGTTTTTCATAAAAAGGATTTCCTATCAACGCGTTCTTTAATACTCACGTAGAGAGAGTAGTTGTTATCACACACCTTACAAGTGATCAGGTGCACAGTACTGGAACTGACGCAATCACAATCTACGCTGGCTTCGTTGTAAAAATTCCCTGACCACTTTGCGATGGTTTTGAAACTGCGGTGAACTCCAAGACATACAAAAAAGTGATAAATATTAAAAGAAGCGGTTGAGATTTGAGACTTGAGCTTCTTCTGCTAGGGTTATGAGTGTACTTGACTGAGTAGATTTTATTTCAATGTGACTCTTCTCCAGTTCTGAAAAGGTCTAAACCTGTTGAAATTTTGCCCAGTATGATATAAATGAACAACGTCGGGTCCGCTTATCGGAGACATCACCTTATTTATCAATACTGAATTTAAATGAAAGTCGCTCCTGGGAATTACTGCACAGTGTGACAGCAAAGAATACGTCCCTTCAAAGGATTTGAACTTCCATACCAAAAACGAACGTAGTAAAGTAGTGCGAAGAACAACTCACCCCAAACAAGTCCTCCTGATTTAGCTGCTTGCTTCACATTCGAAAGGCATTCTGACAGCTGGTCTACCATCTCGTCCAACAATCCAAACCTGTTCATTTCGTTCCAGAACGAGATTGGCTCTAAAACAAAAGCTGTAGCCAAAGTTTTGTGATCTTGCCTAGCCCGAGATTGTCATGTGTTTAAACTGCTGAGCTTACAGCTTACTGTCATACTGTCATGAGTGTATGCTAAGTACTCATTTTACTAAACCCTTAGTTTTATTTATATCTTAAATAAATTAAAATCATAAAGATTTTAAATCCAATTTGGCAACAGTGCCACTTTACTCTTTTCGGTTTTCGGGGTTAACAACACTAAGTGGCTGAACTACGAAAATCCAGGAGAAAGCATGTTTTATGTTTAAAATTTGAACAACAGCCAAAACGCAAGCCTGGTTTGATGGCAAATAATATCATACTGCTTATTCTTTTTTTCCTAGACTTAAAGTTGGACGCCCTAGCGTTCTCAAGAAAAAGTTCTGCTCCATTTGGTTAACTAAATTCAACCCGAAGCTTAGTAAAAATGTATAACAGTATCGATTTTATTTCCTATTCCGTAAACCATTTCCACGCCGGTGTCCTTGCTACAGTTAAACAGCTAAGCTAAAGAATTTCTTCGTAGTTGCAGCAATTTTTTTCGAAAATTTTTTATATTCCTACTAACAGATAAAACGGAGCAGAAGAAATGAGGTATTGCCGTCGAAAGTTTCTTCTAACACGCTAAATGAACCAGAACCAACAATTCTTTGGAAACACATAACTGAACGACATTTATAAAAGAATGACGTCACTGATTTAAACTTTGAACTGTCCATATTGTTCCTAAACTTCCCCTCTCATATCTTAGTATGGACGCAAGTCGTATGTGTCGTTCGAACAGAGATATTTTCGGGATTTAGACGAGCTGCGGAAGAGAATGTCACCTTTCTCTTCTCCGCTGCATCAATTTACCTGTATTCATAAGCCGTAAAATCTGCTCGGTGGTAGGAGTATCCACATTTTGAACGTCTGTCAACGAGTCGTCCACATCAATAAAATCTTCTGCACAATCATTCCCCTTCATACTGAGTGTTGATGAAGAGATTGTGGATGATATACCACTATTTTTATCACTGCTATCACTACTATTCTTGTTGTTGACAGTATTGTTATTATTGTTAGTATTCTTGATGACTCCGTTGTTGAGCTTAACGAGATGCGAAACTGTACAGGCATCTGAAATATGTAAATAAACGGGACATTTAACATCAGAAAGTGGGATGTAAATTAGGTAGAAAAAAAGTTTTGCACCGAGTTTTTTTAGAATGTCACCGTCCCTAGAGATATGGCATCTAGTGAGCTTTTTGACGATTCTTTGCACTACCGCTCTTAGCGTACACTTTAGGGGTACGACTGAGCCAAAAGTTGGTAGCCAGGCAACAGCGATCAGCAAGCGACATCCACGAGCCGCCGTCATTCCCTAGGGTTGGCGAAGAGTAGTGCCAATCGACGGGAATGCTTCCGCCCCCAACGTGAACGACGCACTCAATCGCGCCGTCGTGTCCGCCGGACCATCTACCGCTCGCCCAATCGCTTCACTGCCGCGATATGAGAAAAAAAGGGACTTGTAAGACCCAATATCCTAGAATTTCACCTTTATGGGAGAACATTCACGTTATTGGCAAAAATCGTTAGACTCTAATAGTTTTTTTCTTAGCTAATAAATTTTCTATGACTCAATAGAAGTGTGTTTGAATCCAAAACTAAGATTGTTTTTCCGTTTCGGCAGAAACTACATTTTTGAAAAGCAGAGAGTCTAAGTGTTCTTAGGTAGGAACCTAAAATCCGATCTAAAGTAAAATCGGAAATAATAACCTTTTAGAATAACGAAAACTGATCGAATGGTAAATAGCACATCTCAAAAAATGAAAAACTGAACTAAAAACCTTAAAATACAAATCAGAAAGTTAACTGTGGGAATAATGTACACGAATGGATGATAGTAGGGTTGACAGTTTTCTAAGAGTTTACGAAGTCCAATGAATCTTTCCGAAGCAACAGTTCTTCTAGCTTTGCTTTTTTCGCGCAAAACTTTTAACTGAACCAGGAGTTTGAATAATGAAAATGCATTTCCAGTGAATTCAGAAGAAGTTTGAAAAATTAAAAAACTATCGCTCTCTTTTCACCGTGCAGAGTGAGGGAGAATACCCAAGTTTTTAAACTAAAGACATCGGTTTCCATAGGTTTGACAGCAGCTACAGAACCTACTCGTCTTTAATTAAAAGATGTGCAAATATCTAAATGGGTTTTCAATCGTTGTTTTGAGGTTAGAGCCCAGAAACTAGGCACGATCATCTTCGTATTGATCGAAATTTAATCGCCGTTGCATAACCACTAGGGTTACGAAACGCGATCAAACGCGATTGGACACTCCCTGTTGTCAAAAAGCAGGATACCGGATTTAAACGGTAATGATAAACTTTCTAGACTAGGGTCAGACAGTGAAATGAAGAACGCCTGCTTTAGTGCATCACAGTGTCCATCACGACTCAACAAACCGAGTGTGCAGTCGGACAAACCGATAAGTCGAGAGTTGAAGAGTTGTGAGATTTGTGCAGCTGCCTTCTCAGCTTGTAAATTACTTTTTCTGAAAAACTTTATATTTGAAAAGCGACGATAAAATAATTTGACGAATGATAGGTTCATTAGCTCTTCGAACTCGAACAGCCAAAGTTGCACCCAAACCTATCGATCTATGTTTTCTCTTACTACGATATGCTGTATTGTAAGCAGGTTTTATCCTATTCATTAAAGGTTACAAATCCCGGAAATTTACGCACCTCCTCATTTTGTCTGCATCTCTTTCTTTAGGGGTAATGTAGTTTCTGCTTTGACATTTGGCAGAGCAAAAATACGTATGGTTGAAGAAGTCGAAAGAATGCATTTCCATGAGTGACCTGAAATTGTGGACCGGTTACGTTATTGTGGAAAAGACTGGAACACTTTTATCCAGAACTTTGTATTAAGTTAAAAGCGGTGACTACAGTGAATAAAAAAAACCTAAATGCCTATTACGACTAAATTTGTGGTTGACTTTCTCAATATTTCGAAGGTTCACCTCAGATTGGATCTTCCTATTCGAATACTTCCTTTCCAATCTTTCTGTTTGTCTTTGTTGGCTCTTACTGTGAACTCCTTAGGACTAATCATTTCATCTGGAAGAGAAAACTCATTAAGATTGCGATTTTTTATGTGTAGAACCACTGGTAGAATCGCTAGTTGCTTTAACATACTTTCGAATTCGATGCATGGCTGATGAATTCCTGGGCAAAGAAATAGTTCCACATGCATTTTGGCCACCAGGGAACCACATTTAACCTGAAAGTAAAGCAAAGCAGGTTATGTCGTTCAATTTTACCGAGGTGAGGGAGTATAGGATGGGTTAGGAGAAAATTCAGTGTTTCAATGTTCCAATTCAGACCTACACCATGTGCATTCATTCCTAAATGTTGTGAAGACGGTGAATACACATTGGCTTAATGCCGATACTCGAGTAAGTGATAACGTGTGGCGCAATGTTAAAGATGTCCTTCTAAACACGCAAAGCACTTTGTGTAATCTAACACCCAGGGTTAATTAAAATCCTTATCACTCCAGCTTTTGTTCACTTGATGGGTTAGACACCGACATGGTTTCACCAGCTTGTAGTGGTACTTGAACAAGCAGTCAGTGACAAACATGATGTTGTCACGTAGCCTGAAGCTACGCCATGTAATATTTCAAGTTTAGAAATGGGTTTACATGATTTCTTCTGGTTAGTTGAGCATCGACGGCTTTGCTTTTTTGAACCCTGCAGGATTCCAGCAATAAAATAAACTAAACTCAAAATATTTCCTGCCTAAGCATGCAATTTTTTGTGGTCGTCGACTTAATCGGATATTTCTGAAAATATGCATCTTCAAAAAGGAGATCAAAAATGTGAATTACAAATTACTACGGCTTATATTCATTGATGGGCGCATGTGATGCAGCGGTCGGAGGCGCGATACACATGGGAACGATTCCCACGCCCCTGGTCCACCAAGCTTTCCATCCCTCCAGGGTCAGTAAATTGATGCCAGACTTGTCTAGGAGGATAGCAGCACTGGCTCGATACATTGGTAGGCCACCGCGAGTCATTGTAAAGTCCAGATATGCATTCAATCACCTCCAACCGATACTTAACGGAGTCGAATGCACGGTATATCCCTAAGGAATTGATCAACGCCGAAAGATTTATTCTTCTTTTTTTTACGGTTCATATCATGTCAAACGTCTTCACTAATTCACATTCACACCTCAGACAGTATACACGAGCAATTGAAAACTTTGAAAGAAAAGCATTGTACAAAATGTAAAGCAGAAAGCATTTCTGCACACAGTTCCCCAAACTTTATTTTTGTAAAGTAAGTGATGATTACTTCCGTTATAAGGCAAAAGGTGTCAATGAGTCATGTTCAACCACAAAACGTCGCATAAGTGGGCAAGTTCAGCTTTTTTTAGTTAGAATCCAAAAACGCATTTGAAAGGGTGTTCAACTCAAGCTGTTCTCTCTTGATGAATAATTAATGAATAGAAGAAGTAAGAATGTCGTAGCATAGCTGTTACTCACGTCTTTCTACTGCGGCCAGTAATGTAGTGACATGATTTTTGAAATACTGCATGGTGCATCGCTTCGCTTGCAATTGCGATTCCCCGTTAAGACAAGAGTAACTCTTCCATTTATTCAAAAAACAAGATTGTTTGGAGAATACTCATACAACCTTACGATTGTAAAGAGTATAGAACTTGGTTGCACTATGAGGTATTCCTCAAGGGATAAAAACTGGAAGATGAACATAGAGCGAGAAGGGAAATATTTGTTATTCATGGGTAAGAATATTTATGAGCCTAACAATACTCAAATCCACTTTACGATATAAATTCTTGAATCTATATCAACCTACTTCGTCCTTCAAAGTATATAATATTTATACCCTAAATTTTAGCTTAAACTCCGCGTTTTCAATTGCCGTTTTTATTGTAGTCACGGATTATAGTAAGCTCGAAATCTTTGTCACAAAGTTCTAGGGAATGTAGTTCATAGGAATACCTCAAATTCATAACTGACGTCCGCTGTTGTATAATAGGAGTCTGGGAATAATAATACAGAAGACCTCTCGACCGATGAGATGAACGAAAACAGTAACCACCTATTTAAAGTGAACATCGCTTTATATACTCCTGCTACACTGTTGAATTTGTGGAAATGTGAAAGCAACTCATAAGCTTAAAAATTCCCGAAATTTCTGAAAAACCAGTAGGTTGAACAGTATAAAACGGTCTATTATAGGTCTGCGCGGGAAACTTCATCGGTGTACAGGACATTTTTTAATTCTACTCCGCGACTACAGAAAAAACGAGCATTGCCTAGAATCTTCATACCACTTAGAGAGATCGATGAAAGTGCATGAGCTTTACACTACTGTCGATCAACAGTAAGCAAAAGACTATGTGAGAGTAGAAATCATAACTTTCAAAAATTTTTCAATTTCCAAGAGATTCGCGCCTCCATATAGGTTCACTAAGTCGGCTCACTCACTTACTCTTCCCATTTATTTGTCAACAATTGATTTATTGATTATCTTTTTCAAGCGGCAAAAACCCAGGGATTATCACTGCGGCGGCTACGTTTCTGTTGAATACACGACGTTTATTCTATTTCTGAGCAAACAAATGAGCACCAAAATGGAGCCACGAGCGAACCTGTCTTCGCGAGAATGGTCGTGCACGCCACGGGAATAGAACCCCAAACAATCGCACTTGCAAAAACAAACACCGGTCGGCGAGCGCCACCGCATCGACAGAACAACGCGTCCGTCGCCGATGTCGTCCTTGCAGGACTGGAGTAGACGTCAGCCGACGTCGTTCGTGAAAGACTGGGGTGCACGTGAGCTGGCATCGTCCTTCACTCATACCCACTTCGACCAATCACAACATCTAGTCGCTCGGTAGCGCTGGTCACAGCATCTAACGACAAAGAAGTCTACAGCGCTGCACAAACAGTGGGAGTGGACTGTTCGTGGTGAATCATGGTGATGCAACCGTACCTATGTTTCACCATCATTTTTCTATTTCGCTGATAACCACTGCGATCATCGTCCTACAGAAGCTCAACACACACATCAAATATTTTCACGGTGTTAGTTAGCACGCAATCTACAACGCGTCCAGTTTAACAATTCTCGTATCACGATGCTAAACAATACAAAGCAAAACAATGCAGTTCTAAAATCATGCCATATTTGTGGAAACGAGACCAGATATCCGACACTAAACTGAATTGTCCATAAACACTCACTTCTACGAATTTCCTAGAATTGGTCACATTTTCCATTGCTACATTTTCCTCGTCCGTTTTTTCCTGAGATGAAATCATGAACGACTCATTCATATGGTCTTCTACCATCTAAAAGACAAATGGAACAAACTTTAACAGACTGGAGAAACATACATAGCTCGAAAGCTACAGTGATTAACTAAACAATTTATTCTCTACTGAATAATAATATGGATTATTTAATGATTTTATAAATTGCAAATTCCCAACAAATGATGGCAAACGCAGTAAATGGATGTTTTGAAAGCAGTTTTGGAGATAATAACCCCACTAGTGGTGATAATATTTGGAAAAAAGTTCTGGACTATTCCACTATTCCATCAACAGTTGCAGCTTAGCAATAATGGGAAACACACGTTTTTTGAGATTAAGACGCCGTGCATTTCGTAACGTAGTTACATAACTACCTATAACATAACTCATCGGAATAGAAATCATAACAAGGTTAAATATGAAATAGGTCTTATGTGAATAACTACAGTGAATAAGGAACGTGGGGTCGTGCTCATTGGTAAACGTGATGCAGCAGATGTGGTGGTGATGATAACCTGCAGCTAGGGAACGGGACCATCACATCATTCTATGGACGGATGAGGTCGTGGGGATGAGAAGCGCTGTTTTTGCGGTATTTGCAGAAAGCTGCAACGACGTGACGAGCGCGTTCCGCCGCCGTGGCGGTGTGGTTCGCCGCCGGCCGACTCGTTCACTCGTCCGTTCCGCTTGCCGGATGACCGCCTGCGGCGCTTCGTGACCGACCGCCCCTCCTGGCCCGCTCAGCACGGCCCTCGCTTGACTCACACCTCCTCGCGCTCCGCTTGCACTCTGGTCGTCCCTCCTCGCCGGTTGTCTGCAAATTGACCAGCTGACGGCCAACATCGTCTCACGCGCCGCCGCACTCTATTGCCGCCACCTGATCACGTGTTCACGGCCAGTTTGCTATTTTCGTCCCGATTTCAAATGCACACATTGTCAGCTATTTCTGTCGATGCTCACTATACCCCACCATGGTTGCGTCGTATTTGTTGACAATCGCGAACCGCGAGCTACCACTAACCACAGGTTTTAGTGTTTCTGATAGCAGCTATTGATCGAACACTAAACAGTTGACCACCTGTTTATTCATCACTGAAATGAAGTAGTCTACAGCAGGCAGGCGTTTGTCTTGCGGATGGGGCAGAGTGATTGGTGTCCCCTTTTGCCGTCATCGCACAAACGGAGAGAGTAAAACTAGAAATCCAGGAGTATTACTGTCATCATACCACGTATTTTTGTCCTGAGAGTCGTCCTCGGATCTTTAACGAGGTATATTAATTGTGAGAAAGTGTTCGAGTGGAACGCGTATAACACCATTGGTCAGTGATTGTCGAGTACTTGAAAGGAACATTAGGCTGAAGCTGTCGATGATCACGAAATCAACAGCACCTACTGAAAATATGATTTTTGAAGTGAAATTTGACTTTCTCAACTTTGCGAACTTGATAGTTTGGCTAAAGACTCCACCACAAATGCATAGTTTCACTTCGTTGTTTATGAGATGGTATTTCCAATAAACAGTTGCTATGTGAATGTTACACTTTTTGCTTAGTGCTTATTATTTTTCACGGAACAATTTTATGTGAAAGTGAGCCGCAACGATGCTGAGATATTTGAAAGAATTGGGCTCAGGCCCGATTCGAACCTCCGGTGCTGCCAGCAATCTCAACCAAAATGATCTGCGAAGAGGAGAGCGAATCTGACCTGAGGTCCAAGTTTTGAAAATATTTCAGCATCACTGTGGGAGTATTTCATATAAGAACCTTCCTTCAAAAATAATAGGTGGTAAATAAGTGGTTTAACGTAGCAATTTCGACTACAGCTTCAGCTTAACTGAGTTCAATGCCGATTTGAGCTCACCAGATCATTCCCAGTGGCGGGTGATTTTTCATGACACTATTAGGGTAAAAAATGGGCTGAGAGGAGGACAAATCACTAGCCTCGCTAGTGCAGTGTGCAACACTTGAGCACTTACTTGGATGCTTCGACAGCCCGTCATCAGTGGTTGTGCGAGCCCCGGCATATTTTCCATTTTTTGGAGTTTTGCTCGTTAAGCCATTGAGTTTACCTGGAATCCCGAGGTCAGCCTGGTCAAAGTCTGCGCCAGGTCGTCACTACCAGAGGCAATCGCCACTCTTGTGGATCAGAAGGAGATATGTCACCATGCGATTAGTTTGATAATAGGACGGTGGTGGGTCTTGGCATCGGTTCACTCTTAGGTGGGCTTCTTGATGAAAACGCCGGACTCCTCAGCTTGGGAGACCTTGCTGAGGAGATGAATGCCCTCGCTGTACATCGCAGCCCGACACCCAGGAATACCTCTCATCCACGATGAGGCGGTAAACTATTGAGAGGTGGGCAGTAGGACACGTGAGCACTATGAGAAGGTAATCGTGGGTTCGAGTCTATCTTGGGTTACTTTTGCAAATATCTCAGCATCACTGTGGTTGGTTACACTTTATAAATATCCTACATTCCAAAAAATTGTTTGGGTCACTTTATCGGTAATCATCTATCAAAGAATCCTTGAAATCCAAATGTAGCAAAAAGCAATAAAGGAATAAAAAATAAGTTTTCAAACTTGATTTGCGTCCCATATTTAGCAATACTAAATAGTCGATGCGGTTCTCTAACATTAACTAACCAGATTTAGTTTGAGGTATTCGAGCTTAAAATAAATTAATTAATGACAACCAGTGGACAGGAGCCGTTAGCGAATGGATTCCTCGGGGTGTGAAAGGTACTGCAAAAAACCACCGAACTGATAATCAGAGTTCTTCACGAAAATCCTAGAAAAAAGATATGGCACTCAGCGAGTCCCTAGAGTGATCAGAACCCACTGGATTACTCTTGCACGCGACAGGGATGCAAAGAAGATTTATTGGCGTCCGCTCGAATCACTCGACGTTCAACGGGACCACAGGTGATACAGCTGATTCTCTCGCCATCATATTTAACATTTTCACTGAAATTCCGGTTTTTCACTAAAGCTCCTATAATTCCTTGATGATTGCAGCACTTTTTTGAAATCAGAGCTTAACATGGTAAAAAAAAACCTTTACTTCATCGGTCGAAGTGTCTTGTCACTAAGAATCTTGTCAAGCTGTCAATGTAGTCTAAAAGTTGTCTAAATTTTTTAACTTTTTTGGAGAGTGGTGCTGGAAGTGTGTCGCACGAGGTGAGGACGGAAGTAAGGATGAGGAAATGTCCTAAGTGTTTTGTACCTCAACGATCACAGATCAGAGACAGAAGGTTCAGTAGTGCCACACAAAAATGTCGAAAATCAGTTGGGCAGGGCACGTGATGCATCTGAAGGGCAACGGTTGGAGAAGAGCTATTAGCTACTAAATTTCTCAGGAGGTAAAACACGCAGCAGGAAGTTCACCGACTCGAAGGTAAAGGTTCTTCACGAAGATCCTAGAAGAAAGATATGATCCTCCACAAGCCCCTAGATGGATCAGAGCCCACAAGGCTACTTTTGCGTGAAAGAAGGATAAATAGAAACTTTACTGGCCACAGCTAAAACCACTCAACAAATGGCTGATAAGAAGAAACGTGACACAAGCAGTACTTTATTTGTAAATTGCGCAAATCTTAATATATTTTTGTCGTGACGCACACTCACCATCTGTTCCTTTATCCATTGAGTTTTCACTGATAGCTTCGGATTACAGGCAAGCGTTTCTTCATGTGATACGAAGATTCTTGTAATTAAGAAGCGCTTCATTGCACCCAATGAAGACCTCACATCTTTGCAATGTACATAGAAAAGTAAAGCTCAGCATTATGATTTTTCTTTAACAAATTTTTTCAATAGTTGCAGTGTAATTAATGCAACTGAGATGCACCAAAAGAAGCACTGTACAATCCACTATGCGAGACTTAATTATAATAGAGCCAGATGTGATTGTTTGCAGGATTGCAGATTCTGATTTCTGGCACCAATGAAGTATTTCATCCGAACGTACCTATTAATACATGCTACACTCAGGAAAATTGGACTCGAAATGGCTACGAAGATACCACGTGGAGAGTACGGACGATTGTGGACCATCGACTCGGATCATCGGCTCTGAGGAAGAGGAAGTCGTCGAAACGTTAGCCGGACAAAGTTGGCTGAAGTTTTCCGTGCTCGCCATCGCAAGCAGTCGCCGGCCTTCCTGCTTCTGAGCGGAGGGTGTTTTCTCCAGACAACACTGCTAGCAATTTTCCAAACCCGAGCGAATGAGAGCAGTGGGACATCTAGCAACTGCCTCTCCAACGCAATAATCCATTATAAGGTGTTCATTATGAGAACGACTGCCATGGTTTCATCAGCTTGCGGTGGTACTGTAACAAGCATTCAGTGATGTACGCGATGTTGTCACATAACCTTGAGCTACACCATTTAATATTTCACACTTAGAAATGGATTTACACGATTTATTCTAGCTACTTGAGCATCAAGAATTTTCTTTTTGAATTGTGCGTAATTCCAATAACAAAATTAACTAAGCTCAAAACGCGACCTTTCTTTGATAAACTTATACGAGGTTGATAAGTAATACTTTGTTGGACTAACGGCTTCGTCTTTATCAGAACCGATGATCCGAGTCGATAATCCGCAGTTCGTCGTTCTCTCGAAATGATGTCTTCGCAGCTCATTGAGCCAGATTTTCCTCAGTGGAGCACCTCTCTCGAATGACCCATACTCACCCGGCCATGCTCTTTTATACAAAGCGGTGGATGTTGATAACAGTGATTGTCAGATGATAACAACTTGTTCTTTCGGACAATCTAGCCTGCAAAAGTCGATATCACTGTCAACGTGTACAAAGCATAACGAGATTTTAAAAGCGACTTTCCTTTAACTTTCTTGAATTTTTCTTTCCTTCCCTTATTTATCAACCTCGTGTAAGCTTATCAAAGAAAGAATGCAAATTGATTGGTCATACCAAGCCTAAAGGAAGGTCGGTTTTAAAGTTCAAAACATTTCCTGGTTAGGTATGAAATTTTTCGGATCGTTGACTTAATTGAATATTTTCGAAAATATGCATCTTCAAAAGGAACATCAAAAAAGTAAAATGCAAATCACTACGATTCATATTATGTCAAACGTCTCTAAACTTTTATTTAGACATACAGTGCTTTTCTTTCAGAATAAATAATTAAAATTGCTTCATTCGAATATATGTACATACGCAATGATTCTGAGATAGCTCGAAAGACCGACTTTCTATAAACCTCGGCATAGATAGTTGATATATTTATTTATGTGAATATTATATATGAATATGTGAATAAAATATTTTGCACAAATTAGAGGGTTGACGATGGGACAGCGTTTAGCACCAAGCCTTGCCATCGCTTTCATGTCTAAGGTGAAAGCTCCAGTTCTCGATCACCGACCCTTACTCTACTGTCGATACATAGACGACTGCTTCATCGTCTGTTCCACACAAAAACAGATGGATGAGTGCTTTGAATTATTAAACCGACACTCAGAGTATATAAAATTTACACGAGAAAACCTACCGAGAACTGGCTTCCATTCTTAAACATCCAAATAAAGCTCTCAGTAAGTGGCTATGTAACAAAATGGTATCGCAAGCCAAGTAGTAAAAACATTCCAGTTCACTGCCTCTGCTCTCATCCTTCACGCATGAAAAAAGCACTTATCAAAAATATGTATCGTACGGCTAAAAATGTGTGTACAGAAGAGGAAAGGAAGGAATCGCGAAGCCTGGCACGAAAAATTGCTATTTCTAATGGCTACGAAGTAGAAGCCACTCGGGTTAGAGGAAAACGTTGGGTAGTTTCCCAAAATAATATTTCAGACGAACGTAGGATCCCCTTTAAGCTGC